CCACTTATTCTGTATAAGTTATTATAGTTTACTTAATATATCTGAGATTGTATTATGTAATAGTAACCGAAAATATTTATTGTTGACTATAGGGAGCATCTATTATACGAATGATGACTTATTTCCTTAATAGAGATACGTTTAGGAAAGGAGTGTCTGTGAGTTTTTGCAATTCTTGTAATTAATGTAATTTTGGTATAGAGATGACCCGGATAGCAGACAATTGTATAGAAAGTAATGACAATTTATGATCTCATATACGAAACAGAATTACTTGAATGCCTGGCGCTATGATAATGCAGTTCAGGACGATCTCTGGAATTACCTAACATTAGCCGCCAATAATAGTCTGAATGTGAAGAAAGTGATGGACTCGTGGACACTACAGGCCGGGTATCCTGTGGTGACACTAACTCGGGATTACTCGCAACGGAAAGCGTGGTTAACACAGAAGAGATTCTTACTTTACGTCACCTCTAATGAGACAAATGGTATCGATTCGTCGAAATACTGGTGGGAAATACCAATTACTTATACCAGTGAACGGAATGCCAATTGGGATCCAATTACCAAACTATGGATGACTCGAAGTAACGGTAATTCAATTTATTGTTTGCTATCAAAACCTTATGTGCGATAACTTTATAAGAATTTATAACTTATATCTCATAAACAATTGAAAACTTTTATTTCTTAGCTTCGGATGAGTTTATGATTAAAGACGAAGACATTCCTAATAATGATGAGTGGATTATAGCTAACCTTCAAGAAGTTGGGTATTATAGAGTGAATTACGACACCAACAACTGGAAGCTTATAATCAGACAATTGGTGTCAAATCACAAGAAAATTCATGTGATAAATAGGGCTCAGCTTATAGACGACGCCCTGGATATGTCTCGCGCCCATCTCCTCGACTATCACATCGCTCTCAATATAACCCAATATCTCGTAAATGAGAAGCAATTCATTGCTTGGGAGGCGGCTCTCAATGCCTTCTCATTCTTGGATCGTATGCTGAGGAGGAGTTCAGCCTATGGTCTCTGGAAGGTATGGCTCGCCACTCCATCTCAAAAATAATCATTCCTTTGCTTTCAAACAACAATTGATAAATAATTCACTTTCTGTTTATGAGTCCCTCGAGTGAAAGTTTCTACACTTTAAACAATAATCCAATTATTGCTTACTTTCTCTACTCCAACACCACTTCACGTATTACTTGTTTTCCCAGTTATTTGACCACTAATTGGTCTAAAAATTTTTCAAATATATCATTGCATGAAATTTTTAACGCAATCAAATATTAATTCAATTTTCTACCGAAAACCACAATAGAATTGCTTTGAACTCAATGTTTTTAACACAATTATTTTGAGCACAAATAACAAAATTAAATTAAGGCAAAGTTTTATTTGTTTTTATAGGTCTATGTTTTGAAATTAATTATTAGAATATATAATGAGATTACTTGGACTGTGAGCGAAGATTCTGAGAATATTCTGGACAAGTATTTGCAAATTAGTATAATTGGTTGGACCTGTAAATACGGACACCACGACTGCGTTCAGCAATCTTTGAAGCGATTCCGTGAGTGGCAGACAAGAGTGAAAAACGGCGACCAAACAAATCCGTAATAATTGGTTTTAGTGATTTGATATACAATTTGACAAATGTTTATCTCATGTATCAGAATACATCCAAACTTGCGAAGTATAGTTTACTGCACTGGTATTGAGTTTGGTTCTGAACAGGACTGGGATTTCTTGTGGAATCAGTATTTGAATGCAACGGTTGCGTCTGAAAGAGAAAAACTCTTGCGATCCCTGGCCTGTAGTCGTGAGCCATGGCTGTTGTCTCGTTATATAACGCGTGCTTTCAACGGGTCGAGTGGTATTAGGAAACAAGACGGCAGTTATGTGTTTAGAGCCGTCGCCTCCAGTAATTATGGCCGAGATATTGCTTATAACTTTCTTAGAGATAAATGGGATGTCATTGTCAAATAGTAAGTCATACCAAATATATTGGCATTTGGCCATAATTGACAAATGCAATCTAATCATAATGACTAGTACAATGAATTGCTTACATTAATATTGAATAATTGAAATCATTTTTAGTTTTGGAAAATCATTCTTTTCATTTGGAAATTTAGTTAAATCTGTCACCTCTTCGATGAATTCTGAATTTGAATTGAGACAGGTATGTGTCACTATCACCAACATATAGTATATTAGTTACTTTCAAACTCGTTTACTAAAGAATATTCTGTTGAGTTTCTGTTAGAGTACACTAATAACTTACTGTTAGTACAAAATTAATAAAACATATGTACAGTAATATGACGTGAACTCTAATATAATGAATGTTTGAATAGCTTCAAGAATTTTACAACACTGTTAAGACAAACGTGGGAACGGCTCAGAGATCATTCATGCAGGCCATGGAACAGACCACAGCTAACGTGCATTGGATGCAAAGTCATTACCACGAAATCGATAACTGGCTCTCAAACACTAAGCATTTACTAATTCGATAGCAATTACATTAGATTTTCTAAGACTAGTCCGAGTATTGTTTGCCCAAACATTTTCTATGAAACCATAATTATATTTCACTTTACTTTTAATTTAATCAACAATTCTATTCATCGAGTTTTCATTTAATTTGTTGTTCATTTCATTAATTAAGACCTCAATTATGTGTAATTAGATCCTTATGCGAGACATTCATTCGTCATTAACATAAAAATCTGTAAATTACGAGATTTTCGAGTTATGCCTATTGATTGTTAGAATTAATTTGCGAGTTTATATTCAACTGTTTTCAACTATACTGCAATTAAATTATATTTAGACAAGAAATTCATGTCTTTTAATACAATGTAAATTAAAAGTTCATTAGTATTTAACTGTAAACATAAATCACACACTATTTACGGCCAGTAAATATTTTGCATTTTATTTCCAAACATTTCATTTGTAAAAAACAATAAATTTAAATCATTTTGAGTAAGAATTAGACATTTTCTTATTCGCCGAAAGTATTATCGAAAACTTATATAATTTCGGAAACAATACTCTCTTTCGGTCTCTTCTCCTCTCAGTTCTCACGCTTTTCTCCGCTTTCGTCAACTCTTTCACCGATTCATTGACGCGTTTGTCATGTTTTCGGACAATATTTGAGACACTCTTTTGGACATTACTGGACACACTCTTCGAGACATTATTTGGGACACTCTTTGTAGTAGCGTTTGCCTCAACAGGGGTGGCATTCCTCTGCTGTCTGAGCTGTGAAATGTCGGGTAAATTAATGACTTCACACTTGAACTCAATTCCCTTCTCTTTGAGCTGATTCTCCATTTGTCGTACTTTTTTGAGTCGATTTCGCATTAATTTAAACTCTCTTTCAATGGATTTGTTTTTGTTGTGCAAAGACTTATGGATTTGTGTGGAACTGACGAACGCTTTGTTCCAATTGCTGAACAAATTTGGTCTCTCCTTCACCTCCGAGTGTGGCATCAATTTGCCTGACATTCAAAACAAACATTCATATCAATCACCAAATCATAACCTAATCCATGGAAAGCATACATTTAATGATGTGATCAAACATCAGATAGTTATCCATAGTGTTGGCCACGATTTGTGCCACTTCTTCAAACTCAAACTCAATGAACCCATAGTTACGCCTCTTTCCAGTCTACCAATGGATCCAAACAACAAACAATGCATTACTAAAGGTATGGTCAGTCGAGACCATAAGACATACCTTCTTGTTCTTCGAGATCCTAATCCTTAGTATTTTACCGAATTGTGAGAAGTATTCAAACATTTGTTTCTCATAGAAACCGATGGGAAAGTGGCTGATCATTATCACACCTCTCCTCACATCCTTTTCCTGCAATTAAACGTGTAATTAGTGTCTTAACTATCACTCAAACACATCCCATAATCTAATCCAATATCACATACTTCGGTCTTTTGGGTTACTTTCGGTTTCTTGGTTTTGGTTTTGCCGACGGCTTTGCGTCCGTTGATTTGGGCACCATTTGATCCACTCTTAAGTGATTTGAGTTTAGACACGGATTTACTTAAACTAAACATTGTTTTGATTGCAATTTAACGATCAATTAATTGAATAATCAAATGTTAAATACAAAAATCAAATCAAATGTTAAATAAATACTAAAATCAAATCAAATGAGAAAAACAGCAAAACGTGAGTCAATTCACAGCAAACATGTGCTCAACAGTAGAGGTGTTGACGGCCTTCACAGCAATCGCTTCATTGAAGAGTTGACGCTATATTTGGTGTTTTGTGTCCACACGAAGACATCAACATTGGGTCCAATGCTTAAGAAGTATCCTAAAGACGAGGCATTCAAGTGGTCTAAAGTGTTCAAGGGTGTCATATATGTGGAGGCAGTCATACTCTTAGGCTCTTTCTATCTCTACCGCAAACTATGTCGCGACCAAAGTATGCAACCATTCCTCCACAGCTGTCACTCTTTACACTAATTATCTGTCATTTGTTTAGATTTCCGCTATAATTGCCATCAAAAGCATAGTTTGATTCTTGAAAGTATTTATCTCTTATAAACATTTGTTTAATAAATGAATGACAACTCAATTAATTATCTATTGAAAGCATTTTATAACTTCATGGAAGTGGTCGGACACGACTACTACCGGACAATGGACTACAAGAAGTGGAATATTGCCATCACAGACAAGAAGGATCAGTGATTCACTTATTGTTTAGACATTGATTAGAAGTATTATTATTACAGTTAGTGATTAGACTTTTGTTGTAAATCTCAAAATGAATGAAAATCTAATAAAACGCGAAGAAGAGAGACTTTCTGGGATTGAGTCCAAGAAGAGAGAGAAGGAGTCCAATAAGATTGCGTCCGAAGACAGCGATTACATCATGAAAGAGATCAATGATTTAAAGACACAAATCGAGACCAAACTCGATGTCTTGGATACTATTGAAGCAAAGGATGAATTAGAGATCCGATTAAAAGAGTTGAGTTGTGATTACGAAAGACTCCATCAGTTTATCAACGAATCGGTCCTATATTTAGCCAAATATAACATCAAATTATGTCAAACTCTACTCAACTCTATTCGCAGTAAAATTGACACCAAAAAGGACTCATTGGTTCCCAAATCAAAGTTTTCTTTCAAGTCTTCGATCAAAAGAAATGTGAAAAACAGTGATCCCATTGATTCACAATTAAGTTCAGTCGACCAAATAGATTCATCCGGTTCTCAGTTGCCATCCGTTCAGTTCATTGGCTTTAAAAACATGTCAGATTGCGACCAAACATTGCGGATGTCGTCTGAAGAGTGCAACTCTAAAGACTTACAACTCGAAGATCTAACCAATTGTCGGATTGAGATCTTTGGTGCGCCCAATACTCTGAAGATCAATGGTTTAGTGAATTGTAGTGTATTTTGTGGTCCAATCACTACATCTATATTTCTATCCAATTGTAAGGACTGTGTCTTCAAAATAGCGGCACAACAGTTGAGAATTCATTCCTCATATGAATGTAAAGTGTATTTACACGTCACGAGTCGGGCTATTATTGAAGACTCGACTCAAATTAGTTTCGGACCATACGATTGGACGTATGAACACATTCTCCAAGACTTCAAAACCGCAAATTTGGACATCAATTGTAATAATTGGAGACTAATCGATGACTTCGACTGTTTAGTCACTGATAAGCCGTCAAACAATTGGTCATTCATTGAGTAAATTGTGATTTATATACTCTATGTGAAGACAATTTGTATTTGAATTATCTTTACACTTTAGTTTTAACTTATTTTTGATTCACACAATTATGATAATCTTAATTTTATAGTTAAGACTCAAATAACAAATGGATACACGGTAATACTGTAGAAATGATTTAATCGTAATGTACGGCAAATATTGCCGGTATATTAGAAATATTGACAAATTAAAAATACTAATGTTTAACAATTTATGACATTTTAATAATAATTTTTATACAAAAATTTATCAAACCATTACAAATCAAAATAAAATCTTAGTTTTAAAAATGATTGTACTGTAGAAGGATCCGCAAAAAACCAAATCTAACTAAATATATACAGTAGAAGTACTGTATGTTTGTATTATGGTAAAAATCTAAATAATTGTCAGTAATAACTATATCAATAGTACGGAAACTAACATTTAATTTATATTCAGTTTTATATGAGCTCTCAATTGTCGGACATAATGCTGGATGTGATGAATGTTTCACTCATTTTAGTCCATAAGAAAACATATATAAAGTTAGTGTTCGTATAACTGAAAGAAATGCTGAGATTTTAATAAATATTGTATGAATTGAATAAAGGATTGAGTGATGAATGTATGGGAAGTGGTGTTGAAGTGCTATTCATCAGGAGTGGCGGGAATCCAGAAGGACATCGTACTGCAGGCCGAGGCCAACATCATGTACTTGGGGTTGAATTGGACGCATTGGACGGGCGACTGGTGCTCGGCCTGAAAGATGGCCACTTTGTTGCCGGTTATGGCGTTCCAGCAGTGGATCCGTCCATCGGTAGAGCCGCTGAATATGAACTGCGAGTCGGGGGAGAAGGAGGCCTCGAGAGGGAGGCCTTTGTTGTTGATGTGACCCATGAGTGTCTGGAGTGGTGTGCCCTGGAAGGCGTCGATGGTGTGGATGATGTTGCCGTTGGTGTAGATCATGATGATCTTGCCATCGGGACTGAACTTGAGCCCTGTCCAGTCGCAGTCCTTGTCCTGGGGCAGTTTGAACGTATTGAAGGGTCCCTTGTCGAAGGAGCGCAAGTCATACAGTTTGACGGACTCCGAGTTGATGCCCACCGCGAAGATCAGGCCCTCGGGATCGAAGTTAGCCACCGGTCGGCCCAACAAATGCATTAATCCCTGACAGTTGGGCGACCGGAGATCCCACAGACGGATCGTCTTGTCCAGCGAACCGCTGAGGAACGTGTCGTCCACGGGACTCATGCACAGCGTCACCACCTTCTTGGTGTGTCCCGGGAAGTAACGGATGTACTTATTGTCGTGAAGGGAAAGGTATCTAATAGTGTCGTCCACTTTGTTACTCGAGTGTATCGCTGTGTTGGCCGCGTGTGTGTAATGGATCAGATCGACGCCGTACTTCTTCGAGTTCAGTGATCTCTTTTGGGTGCCTTTCTCGCAGTCATAGATGACAATCGAGTCGTCGTCTGAAGAGGTGATCAAAGTCTCGCCATTGGATGAGAAGTCGATTGAATTGATTTTGTCGGTGTTCTCCCTGAAGACCTTCGCCACGTGGAAAGTGGTCAGAACCGGCTCTATTAGCTTCATCTCCACTCTGCCCACTCCTCCCTGTCCTGTCTGTGAGCCTATTTGTCCATCAAGTTTCACCATTATATAGATATCACCGCAACTGATGCCCACATTTGATGTCTCTTTTCATAGCATTAGACACTCTTTGGTGGCAACACTTGTCTCAACACAACTCAGACATCAATTACGACAACCATTGCATTCACTCAACTCCAGTGCACTCTCTGTCACACTCTCACCAACACTTCAATCGCTGAATAATGACCACTAATTGTCATCATATTTATGGTGATCATCGCTAATAGTAATCATTCGTTGAATATTTAAACTAATTTTCATGTATCGCCAAAAGTTGATTATTGTAAATAGTATTTACTAAATACTCAAATAGCCTGATAAATATTTCATTTTAAATGTATATGTTTATTCAAGTAAGTTTAAGAATTTTAACAACTTTTGTATTAAGTTAGAACAAATCGCTGTACTGTATAACCAACTTGGACATTTTCGGGAATCCCCAATTTTATTTATTCAATTAATTACCGGTACTAATATGTTATTAATTAAATTACACTCAGTTTTTAATATTGAATTTGTTAAAATGTATTTTTAAAAGTTAAAAGATATTAATTTTTCTAATTTACAGATTTTCTGTACAGAATTGTGTTGTACACAATACTGAACCCATACAAAAATAGCACAATTATTTTGATTCTTCACTCATATACAATAATTTTATAATTTTACAGTATTTTTGTATTAAATACTATATTATTGAATATTTAAAGTGTTCTTGTATGATATTATTTATAAGCAAATTATTTTATATGCAAATTATAACAATAAACCTTATAATAAGAAAAATAAAACTTCAAGAAATTGAAATTTGTATTCGAAATAAATGAACAAATATTTATTTATTTATTTATTTATTTTGATAAACTGTTGAACTAAGGAAACAATTCTTTGTCCTATGGATATAATGTATGGGAATAAAGGATTTCAAATTCCAATCTTAATCATTATTTGAGTATCGCTTCAAACAATGTATATCAGCTATAATGTTATCAGTTTATACGATAAACAGTTAGACTAATACATTAATTAGACAAATATTATCTTATTTATTAGTCATTTACTATAATAGTCATAAATCGTGTTTTAATTATACAAACCTCAACCGAAACTCAAACTTAATACCAGACTCTATCCGCCTTTATTTGAAGTATACTTGAAATAAAGATAATTATAACCAACACTCATAAGCCTGATAAATATTTTGTGGGATTATGAAATACAGTAGTTTTACAATTGAATCATTTTTTTCAAAATTGAATTATGAATATAAAATGTATTATTTATATACAAATATCATTTTATATTTGATTGTATTGACTGGATTGAAGTCAGTAATAGTGTTATCATCGAAATGTACGGTTCCTTTAGAGGGCGAGTGTCAGTGCAAAGAGATCGTTGAGGAGTCCATGAGTGGACTGCGAGTGGAGTGCTCGCAAACCACGGCTCAGAAGTTATTCAATGACATCGACTTATTGAGAAAATCAGGAAAAACAATATTCGGACTACAGGTCAGGGATTCAGACCTACGAGAGCTCTATAACCTTCCGTCGGGTTTATATAATGTGCACGAATTGATTCTCGACAACACAGGCATTGATTTGGAAACTATTCGCGAAAGTAATGAATTGTTAAAACTGTTGAAAAAGTTTCGAGTCTATCACGAGAACTTCACTGAAGTATGCAAATTATAGTACATTAGCCTTATGTGATGTATTCATTGAATTATATTGAACAGATTCCCGAAGACTTTTTCCTGGGAATGGATGAACTCAAGAATCTGGCCCTCAATGACATCGGAATCGCATATATAAGTAAAGACGCCTTCAGTTATTTAGAAGATTCGCTCAAACAGTTGGAGTTAAGGGAAAATAAGTTGAGAAGTTTCCCCATTGCTATACAAGTGTTGTCTCATTTGGAAAGTTTGGA